GAATGTGTGTGCATCTACTGCCATCTTGTGTTTTGGACTAGAAAACCATCTGAAGACCTTGAGCTGGCAGGAGAGATTTTAACTATTATCAATCTACCAGCCATATTTCAGGATAGGAAACATATCTGTGTCAACAATAACAGAACTATTAATAGACAATGAAATCATTATAATAAATAAATAATAATAAATTAAATAATGTAAAATAAATAAAAAATGTGAAATAAATAAATAAAATAATTACACATTTAAATAAATACTTACAATAATTAAACATGTAAATAAACAAATAAATTAAATAATTAAATAAATAAATAAAATCATAATACTGAATTTGATACCAGAACTGCTCAAAACACCGATATTGACCTGCTGTTTTTCAAATAAGAACAAAAAAAAAACTCTTTTAATATTTATTTATATAACCGAGTAGAGTATATTGTTATTGATTATAGATTATATTGTTATAGATTATATAGATAAATTGTTTTATCTGTCAGGAATGACGTGTGTTTAACACAGAATTCTGAGCAGAAACAATATTATATAATTAATTTAAAAATAGTTAAATATTCTTAAACCAGATACTGTGTTCCTCATATTTTAAAAATGTAAAATTTGTAAATGTTTTATTTCATAACTTTCATCTGCAGAACAGCCGGCATTGTAGTCTACTCTCCCAGGATCAGGAAACATAATACTACAGCGAGAATAAAACTTACGCCTTCTTTCTTTGCGTGAACATTTGGGCGGCGTTATGCAAATCTTCCCACATAGTGATGTAGACATGTGGGGGCGTGTTAGAGCGAGCCGTTTTAGGTAGGCCTGGCTGACTCTTAACTTTTATAAAGCATATCTCTTTGGATTTGAGACTTTAGTCTTTGCAACTTTACAGATCTTCTTTATGCATCAAGAGCTTGTAACACTCCAAAGAGAAAGGAAAAATTGAAATCGCATCATATGACGCCTTTAACATGTGTAACACATTAATCATGTTTACATCTAACCAACCATCAAAACATAAAGATGACATTCAGAATATTTCGTTCAAAAAGTTTGCATTAATAGGACTGGACATAAATAAAATAAATAAATAAATTGCAAAAACTATATATAATAAAACAAAAAAAAAGTAAACTAAATAAAAATAAATTAAATGTAAATAAATAATTAAATATTTAAAATTTTACAATTTTAAATATATAAATTAAATATAAATAAATACATTTAAAATAAAAAAAGTAAAATAAATTAATAACATTTCAAATAATTAAATAACATTTCAAATAAATAATTAAATAATATTTAAAATAATTAAATAAATAAAAATTGTAATGTTATTAAATACATTAATAATAAATTTAAAAAAATTTTTAAATAATAACATTTTTTCAAAATTATGTAAATTTTATATAAATAAATAAATATATTTTTTTCCTATTTTATTTTAAAAACTCAAATCCCATCACATTTCATTTACTCTGGCAGAAAGACTGAAAATGTGCTATTGGTCCATTACAGTCGTTCCAGATCTATCCGACTCATTTATTCAAAGTCTTCTGCTAACCAGCGCTATAGCCAGCACAGGCCCAGTGTCTCATCCGTATACTGAAGAAACTCCAGACTCTAAACAGCTACAGCAGGAAAATCTTATTTCACTTGTGTTTCTCAAACAGCAAGCATCCAATTTAGCGTCACAGCCGGAGCGAAATGACTCTCGCGCATCAATCTCAGGAGAAGCGGGAAGGTTTTTGGCTCGGCTTGAACTGTGACACTTATTTCCGACGCCTTGATTGAGAGGAACCCCCGATGAATGCATAAAACATTCACACGTTCCCTCGCCTCACTGCTGAATTATGAAGGAATATTAACAGAGCGGATGAGCTCAGAACTTCACAGAAAACAATGCATTATAAGGTGCCTTACAAGGCATCATTAATGCATTCAAATAAAAAGAATAAAATATATAGGCACAATTCATGCATTAAAACTAAAACATAAAATATAACATTAGATTATTAAATATGAAATGAAAAACTTTTATTTTATATAAAAAAGTTTTATATAAAATATTTTATTTAGGCCTATTTTATATAGGCACAAGTAATGCATTAAAAGTAAAAAATTAAATATATAGGCACAATTAATG